AAAGCATATATGTGACCGTTTACTCATAGCTCCATCAAGCATCAATTCACTTTCTCGGGGCTCACAACAGTAGCGTACGTTACTGTCCCTATGTACTCTTCTGTCGTGATGTAACCTACATACTGTGCATGCTCCACATTTGAAATGCTTCTTGTCACGACGACCTAGGAATGGCGTGTTGGTTCTTGCGTGTGTGAGTTATGCATGCACAACATTGGCGCAGTGACCTTCCATCAAACGTTGCGTGACAAGATACACGGCAACAACAGTGGCATATTGGTGTACTGCTTCACAGAGTGCCTGGAAAGGAGCCAGCTGATCAAAAGCCACTGGAGCAAAGTGCATACCGCTTACATGACTAAAATGGCCCAAGAGAACCAACCATACAATACAGAGAGAAGTGAGGATTCCAGTAACGTTAGATAACCACTATCCACACACCTCTATTGTTTCGTTGCAGCTAACATTGCGTTGCTTGGCATAATACCTACCTAGTGCATGTATGTTCGATTTGGTCAGAGATCTTACTTACCAAGAACTTCAAGAGTTGAGTTGATTGTGGCTGTATGGGGTGTGTCCAGCAATGTCAGATCGGACACACACGTGTAAATTCCTCCATCACTGAACACCACACTATCAACGGTCAGCGTCACACTGACCTGATACAGAAGGCCAACTGCAGTGCAGGGGGCAAAAGAACAGGGAGCAACAGGCAATAGGCAGGGGTGCACATTGTAGAGTAGATGCAACATTAAGTGCACCACATGGCTTTTAGTAAAAAAAACGCACACACAACACATGCATGTGCACAGACAGACAGACAGACAGACAGACAGACAAACGGACGGACGGACAGACAGACCGACAGACACACACACACACACACACACACACACACACACACACACACACACAATACAACACATTTTACCGGACCCGTGCCCCCCTCCCCCCCCCCCCCCCCCCCCAAGCCCCCACTTGCCCAAACACACACTGCACATTCAGAAGAGGTCAATCGTACACCACAAAACGGAAGAAACACGTGCAACGGAGCACACTGCAAGCCTACACTGCTCACTGATTTTCAACTGACCTATGACCCACCGCTTGGGAGCTGCATCTGCGCCTTGATACATAGAGGGTGGTGGCGTTCCTGCGGATGCCGAAAACTAGGCCTCCAGCCGAGTCTCACGCGAACTGTGAATTTTTATTATAATTTTTTAATTTTGATGGTAGTGATAAGTTCAAGGGTAGTGATAAGGTTGCACCATTGCAGCAGAACACTAGGATCTCCTCCAGCACTTGACTACGCACAGTGACGCATACACAGTGACGCATACACAGTGACGCATACACAGTGACGCATACACAGTGACGCATACACAGTGACGCATACACAGTGACGCATACACAGTGACGCATACACAGTGACGCATACACAGTGACGCATACACAGTGACGCATACACAGTGACGCATACTCTACACAGCACACGGCCATTATGTCCATTGTTAGCCAGTGCAGGCTGTCGTAATAAAACCACTCATCCGTGTTCCATTCCCGTGCATGGTACATGCATGGTGCGACGGCACAATGACAGCTGTCGCAAATCACACTGAGTATTACACGTGTTTGTTGGTGATTCCTGGTTAGCTGCTAGCTTTTCCCTACTCGAAGATGTTGCCGCCGCGAAATCTGGGGTTTGTGTTCGTCCTGGCGAAAACCGTGTTTTGATCCGTTGAGGGAGACGAGAGATACAGTGCGAAGACGTACGATCTGTCCGAGAATCGGCGAAGAAGAAAGCTTCGCAGACGACCCGTAGTGGTTGGGAACAGAATGGAACATATACCAGTCGATGCTTGTCATGGTAGGGATGATTGCTACGAAGGTTTAGCCCCATGCTCCCCAGCGCTTTTTAGCGCCCGACGATAATTACCAAACTTCATCGATTTTGCATGTGGATCAAAGCATAGTCTCCTCAATCTTCTCCAGTCGAGCTGAGTCTGGACGCTACAATGTCGAGACGCGAAAAGAGAACATGCATGAACACACAGGAGCATCACATGCAGCTGCATTCTGCCTTGGCGAAGAGAACAACACCAGCACCACGCATTTGGAAGACATTTCGAAGAAGACGAAGAACTACATATCTGCGTTCAAAAAAGCCTCTGTACTGTGCAGTATGCATGCTTGCATGCGCAAAGCACGGGGTCCGCGGATCAACATCGTTCAAAAATCATTGTGCCACACGGGTGGTATGATTTGTGTGCGATCATGGCCTTTCTTCTTGACAAACAAAACTGAAGTTTTTCGATCTTCAAATCGCCATAGCGTCCTTGTCATGACTCCAAATCAGCTGAAACTTTGCAGGAGGAATGAAAATGCCATGCTGAATCGATTGGTACCATTTTCGAAGGGTTTCCTTGAAAAATAAAATTTAGCCTGCACTGGCTACCATTGTCTATACACCACAAGTACAGCAGCGCTCAGTGAAATCCGACCCAGAGTGCAAAGCTGGCACCCTCAACTGGCACCAACGGCCCTTGACGCCCTGGTGGTGGAATGAATTCGGCTGGGCGTACACATGTACACATACAATGATGTAATCGGAGCTGGTCCAGGGGTCAGCTTTGTACTTTGGGTTCGATTTCAGTGAGCGCAACTGTAGTTCACAAGTTCAACGCGCGTTGATTGTGTCACCGATGTCTACACTCCAACACTGCAGCAAAGAACGTTGTCGCCGGTGCTGTGTGGAATGGGCTTACCTAATGTAGAGTTGCTGCTCACTCTCAGTCTACTTTCTTCATCACTAGCTGTGATCTCTTGTGAACCCTTCAGCCAGCGAACACTGGGCGCCGGAAAAGCAGTCGCAGTGCACACAGTGGTGTACGTGTTGCTCTCATTTACCCGGTACAAGGGTTGGTCCAGCACAACGGAAGGTGGAGCTGAAAGCAACAGAACAACAGGACACAAGACAATCACAAACAGGACCGGCCGAAGCAGCTCGAAGCAGAGTGCCCGGTGCACACGCGCGCAGATCAGTATACACAAAAAAACGGAGGCGAACGTCTGCGTAGCTACACAGCTACACAGACTTTCGCCGTGGTTGTTTGTGACACAAGACAATCATACACAGCTAGCATGGCAGCAGCCAACAGTGTACTGTGCATGTATTTATAACTGTTCTGGATACTAGTACATACAGTGCACAAACATGGTGTTACCGGCACTGCGTTACTCACTGAATACTTCCACCAGAAAGGTCTGTGATCCCACACCACCCAAGTTAGTGGCTGTTATTGTGTAGTTGCCGGCATCAGAACGCTGTGCATTGCTAATAGTTAGCCTGAGGTTGTCCGTCGATAGTGATATTGAGCCACTGTTGATGGAGATTTGCCCAGCAGGACCAGTCCAAGACACATCCGACGCAGTCAAAGCTGGGAAGATGGGCGCTTGCACTGTGACTGTGAGCTCGGCAGTTTGGCCAGTCAGGACACGCACCACGTCTTCAGTTGTTGTCAGTGTTGGCTTTACTGTGTTCGTGAGACAGGAATAGGCAGTCAGTCAGGCGGGCGGGCGGGCGGGCGGGTAGGTGAGCAGAGGCAGGCAGGCGGGCGGACGGGCGGGCAGGCAGGCAGGCAAGCAGGCAGGCAGGCAGGCAGGCAGGCAGGCAGGCAGGCATAAGAGCAAGATAACATTGAAGAGATACGGAACTGTCATGGCGGCACAAACACACCGGGTCAAACACATGACATCTAGCGATAACGGCAACCAGTTCTAACTAAGAATATCAGAACCTGACAAAATGGGAACACGCATTTACTGGATAAACCTCTAATACCATGCCAAGTAACCTCCCATGCAGTTAGCCTACACAAATAGACTGCAAACACCAAAACCAGAAAGCCACCACATACAGTAGCCGAGCCAGAACTCCTCTCCGTTAGCGTCACACAACGTCAACACGGCGCTTTTCACTTACTAAGCACTTGAAGCCGAACATTTTTAGTTGAATTGATGGTTGTGCCAGTAGACCGTATGGTTGACGTGCATGTGTAACCACAACCATCACTATGCATCAGGTTAGATATGACCAGCTCTGATGTCACCAAGATTAGACCATCCGCCGTGACTGCAGGATAATACAAAGCAGCACAACCCTCCACTTTTCCACAAATCATAAACAGCACTCCAAATGACTCGTAAAAAATGTGCAACGGGATGGAATGGAAAACAGACTCCCCAAGAAAAAGTCCAGGGAAATGTTACAGATGAAGCATGCATGAAATCGGTTGTGGCGGCAAACGCGATTAGGCCGGCTGCAGGGACACCGTAATGTCGCACCCGCCCCAGCACCATTCAAACATTTCCCTTTGGCAGTACACGGTACGAACTTCAGGAATCAACAAAGCCCTGCGTAATGCGTACCAGGGGAAGGCTAGACAGCATGTCTCCAGATATCAATAGGCATTGTATGAAAAAACAGTCAATAGCACTAAAGAGCGAAAGCCTTTTCAAAGTTCGGTTTCACTCGCGCCCCGGGCCCGAGCTGGCAGCACAAACAAACGCCGGGCGCGAGCTGGCAGCACAAACAAACGCCGTATACACGAATACCGTTGGGCCAACGGATGGCCACCGCCATCAAAAATAGGAACAAACCCATCCACGGCTTCTTTCTCTTGCTAGCTGTGCTGCTGCGCGCATCCAACTGTTTCGCAATTTCTCCCTCCCACCCACGCCTCCTGAATTTTATTATCGCTCTACACTCTCCTATGTCTCACAATGAGTGCCACTCAGCATGATGGTACTTCAAGCTACATGTACATGTATTTGCATAATTTGATCTGTCCTCGCTCACTATTCTTGACAAAATTCAATTGCAATGAAGCACCAGTGGCCGGCGGGGGCATTCGGCGGCTTGGTCTGATTCCGAACTTGTTGGTAACTGGCTTGAGATGTTCAAGGTTGCTATGTCAACGTGCAGTCATGCGCAGGGCCACCTAACATGCATTTGGGGGCTCAGGAAAGACAGAAACGCGTTGCTAGGCAACAGCAAAAGCGCTCGGCGAGTATCATGCTACTCATGCAGCGCGCACGTTGGCGTAGGGTATCACGCTACCCTTGTGCTGCAGGGTACCACATTGCCCCTCGCTGGAATCAGACCCGCGCCCCGGATACCTTGCGCTGGCCTCCTGACGGCCAAACTCAACCAACTTGTGCTCTGTGACTGGGGTGGTACATGTACTAGCAACATAATGTGGCCCAGGTCGGCAGACTTTCAATTAGCCAAGCGAGCTACTCAGGCCAGGGTGCATGATCACTCAGATTCGCAGCACATATCGAATTATGAGGAACGTCCACCGCTGTGACTAGATAATATACGGTCAGAAAGTGCCACAAATGGGCACCAAACTCACAGAGTACTGAAACATTCAACTTTCTGACCCTACATCATCCCTTTCCTTCTACATTTAGCATTGGCTCAGTAGTCAACGGAAGTGCCCTTGCTGTGCTGGTGTGTGTTATGCTTCGAGCATTGGTTTAGCTAAGAGTGCACGGCGGTGACGGGTTGAGGATGAAGTAAAATTGGTTCAGTACCCGAATAAACTACTGTTGACAAAAAAACACCCAGTTAATGAAGAAGTAAAACTCCACGCATAAACTGCACACTCAATAGTTCTTCCTCCGAAGGAAAGTCTCTAGGTCTTCCTCTGAAGGAAAGTCTCTAGGTCTTCCTCCGAAGGAAAGTCTCTAGGTCTTCCTCCGAAGGAAAGTCTCTAGGTCTTCCTCCGAAGGAAAGTCTCTAGGTCTTCCTCTGAAGGAAAGTCTCTAGGTCTTCCTCTGAAGGAAAGTCTCTAGGTCTTCCTCTGAAGGAAAGTCTCTAGGTCTTCCTCTGAAGGAAAGTCTCTAGGTCTTCCTCTGAAGGAAAGTCTCTAGGTCTTCCTCTGAAGGAAAGTCTCTAGGTCTTCCTCTGAAGGAAAGTCTCTAGGTCTTCCTCTGAAGGAAAGTCTCTAGGTCTTCCTCTGAAGGAAAGTCTCTAGGTCTTCCTCTGAAGGAAAGTCTCTAGGTCTTCCTCTGAAGGAAAGTCTCTAGGTCTTCCTCTGAAGGAAAGTCTCTAGGTCTTCCTCTGAAGGAAAGTCTCTAGGTCTTCCTCTGAAGGAAAGTCTCTAGGTCTTCCTCTGAAGGAAAGTCTCTAGGTCTTCCTCTGAAGGAAAGTCTCTAGGTCTTCCTCTGAAGGAAAGTCTCTAGGTCTTCCTCTGAAGGAAAGTCTCTAGGTCTTCCTCTGAAGGAAAGTCTCTAGGTCTTCCTCTGAAGGAAAGTCTCTAGGTCTTCCTCTGAAGGAAAGTCTCTAGGTCTTCCTCTGAAGGAAAGTCTCTAGGTCTTCCTCTGAAGGAAAGTCTTTGGCGATATGTGCAGTAATGCATACTGTGTGTGTGTGTTGCTTTTTACAAAAAACTAAAACAAATTGCCTCTCTATTGCTGGAGGCATTTGCAATGGCGAATCACCAGATGAAACATACCATTAGAACTATTCGTGACACTCAGTCGGGGGTCAGAGTCAACCAACTCCGTCATGTTCTTGCTCCACACTACCCTAGGTTGCGGAAAGCCACGCGCGGAGCAGATGACAGTGAAGTTGTTGGTTTCGTTGATTTGCTGCAAACTGGCATCCGGGCTTAGCATAGCAATCGGTGGTACTAAACCAGAAAACCAAACCAAACCAGAGCAGGAAACCAAACAGCAAAGGTCAATGGAGAAAAGACAGCCACAAGAAGGTGATAGCCTGATAGGACCAAGCACTGTGTTTTGACTGGACATCCATTTGCTTCAGCCAAAAAATTCGTCTATTAATAATCTCATCCAACTCGGAATAAGGGAAGTTCGCTACATAAATATTTGCCCAGAAATTATGAGATTTATTGAAAGACGAATGGAACTTGCCGTTAGTCCTATACTATTGCTGAAAGGTGCTTTATCCTTGCTTTGGAATATTCCGAAAGATGATGTGACATCGGCGGTGATTAGTGAAGAAAGTGTCTGCTCCGAACGTCGGAGCTCGTGCTTCCTGCCGACTGACTTGGCACTTGACTGTCTTGTGTGCTCCAGACGCAGTCGTGAGTCAGTCAAATGTCAAGTCAGTCGGCAGGAAGCACGAGCTCTGATGTCCGGAGTAGAGACACGTTCTTTGGAATATTCGCCATAAAAAAGCGTAACTAAAGGATCAGAACACAAACAGCTGTGTAGACGGAGAGTAGTGTGGGCAAATGGTACAAGGGGCTACAAGTACTTCTTATTCTCATGGCCACGTTGCTGTTCCTACCGTGTACTTGAACTTCCGAGCGAATTTGGCTTTGCACTTTTGTGCCGTCAGACAAAATCACGGTTGCTTGACAGAAGTAGTGACCGCGCTGTGCAAACGTGATGGACTGGAACGTGAGGTTGTGTGTGGTCTGATATGTCAGAGTACTCTCATCTGTGAAGAGAAAGGCAAAGAAAGGCAGAAAGGAGCACGACAGTTCAACACATTTCATTGTTGATCTGACCAATCTTCTGAGCTACAAATAATATACATTGTGTTCGAAAATGAATACCAGCAGTCTACAGACATCGTGATCATAAAAAAACCCTCTGTGGGTGTTTCACTTACCGAAGCTAGCCTGGGAGTCTGTAGTGACTCCTGTTGTGACCGGATTGCCGGTAGAGTCAAGCCATACAACAGTGGCGTTGGGGTGAGAAGACAATGAACACTGCAGAACGGTGCTGTTGCTCTCCAGCACGGTCGTGATCGTGTTGTTCGGTGTGGTGAATAGCGGCAGAACTGAGAACAAAACACACAAGCAAATGCATACAGCCTCACGCACAAGACAATAATAACTCGCAAACAAGATCCTAAAGCGCTAGTCGTGCTCATAGCATACATATGAAACATACACTGATTCCCACAACAAACCTATTGGCATCACACAAGCATAATATTATGCAACATTATTCCCTTTCTCACATCGAGGATAGTAGCACTGCGCACCCTACACTCACCCATACACAGAGGATAGCACTGCTCATATGTACACCATACATACACTCACCCATACACAGAGGATAGCACTGCTCATATGTACACCATACATACACTCACCCATACACAGAGGATAGCACTGCTCATATGTACACCATACATACACTCACCCATACACAGAGGATAGCACTGCTCATATGTACACCATACATACACTCACCCATACACAGAGGATAGCACTGCTCATATGTACACCATACATACACTCACCCATACACAGAGGATAGCACTGCTCATATGTACACCATACATACACTCACCCATACACAGAGGATAGCACTGCTCATATGTACACCATACATACACTCACCCATACACAGAGGATAGCACTGCTCATATGTACACCATACATACACTCACCCATACACAGAGGATAGCACTGCTCATATGCACACCATACATACACTCACCCATACACAGAGGATAGCACTGCTCATATGTACACCATACATACACTCACCCATACACAGAGGATAGCACTGCTCATATGTACACCATACATACACTCACCCATACACAGAGGATAGCACTGCTCATATGCACACCATACATACACTCACCCATACACAGAGGATAGCACTGCTCATATGTACACCATACATACACTCACCCATACACAGAGGATAGCACTGCTCATATGCACACCTTACACTTACCATACACATCCAGGTTGAACGAGACAGAGCGAACCCCGGCATCAGTGGTCACCGTGGCAACATACACCCCTGCATCCTGCCGCACGAGGTTGGAGATCTGCAGGTTCTGGCCGCTCGTCGTGAGTTTGACACGTGTATCATTACTGCTGGACGGCGTTACAACGGTACTGTCTGGTAGATGCCACTGTATATCGGATGGCTTGGAGGCTGGATATGCGGGTGGTGCAATCATGATCATGAACGAGGCGTTTTCTCCAGCTTCCTTGACGAATTGAGTTTGCTGACTAGTGACACGCGGACGCACTGCACAGTACATGTAGAGTGTGACATTAGCAGCTCACCAAGGTCAGGACGACACACATGTACATGCACTCATGCACTTGTACATACACAGGCAAATCAAACTGCCAACCAGGCATTACTGGTATTTTTATTTTATTTATAAGATAAATTGTGCACTCATAACATTTTTTGCTGTTGTTATATAAGAGTGCACAATTTATCTTATTTATTGCCATTTTACGACTATTGTCTCCTCGTCGATTGTTTATTTTATTTTTTTATTTTTTATTTTACTGATGTAGAGTAGGTGCTACGTTGTCAGGTCAATGGTTTCTTCAGTCGTCAATGATGTATGTGTATTGGTTGTGCACGCATGGTCTCACTCCACCCCACCCCATGTAGCACTGGAATGGAACTCTATCGCAATGAAATCTGCCTAAGGCTTAAGGCTTAAGGGACCTTCCAAATGTGGACCAGGGTAATTTGACTGAAGTAACATTCTTTGGTAGTGGTCCTCTAGGACAGGTGGTCGCCTTATGACAGGTTTTGTTGCACATGATCAAGCAGGCATAGCGTGAAGGAATCGCATGCAATCTCAGAACCACACCAAGCACAGCGAGCACACCAAGCACAGCGAGCACACCGAGCACTACGGTGACTGTAGAACACAATACATGTAGCATGATGGGTAGCTAGCTGCCTGTGGCAATTGCCCGGGCACACAGCAAGCAGCACTTAACCCCCCATTGATCACAACTGGACAGCATGCCAAGCAGCAGATGCAGTTTATAATGCAAAGTAGACAGGACTGGAGTCGGCCACATATCTATGACCAATGGCGATCCACATAGTTAATATACACATTTGAAACAGTGACACCAGCGTCACACATAGTAATATACACATGTTAGGCCCACAAGTTCATGCATTATTCATTTGGCCTGGGTAGCTACCTTGTTCGTACCCAACACACATTTGAAACAGT